CCCCTCGCCTCTCCCAGCCGTCTTGTGATTTCCAGTTTGATTTCAGCTTGGTAATGCAGCAAGCCACTCACATGAACTGATTGTTGTAGTTCCCTGATATGCTGCACGAGCGGATCGTGTATGACCCAGGGGCTGTTGATTGCCATGGCCACAGCATCACCCCAGTTCAAATCCAGATCATACTGCTTTCCCATGCGGATAGCAAATTCGTGATTTGATGTGGATCGCGTTCGCGAGCATCGTGTAGTCTGCGCACAATATGTCCTTGCACACAACCTCGCATACGACTTCCATACGTTTGTCAAGCCGGCCGGCGTCAAAGAACATTGGAGGATACTGGAAAGGAACGGGGAGACACGGCAGCCTTGAGCGATGCCCGCCCTCAGTTTTCTTGTGCTGGAATCCCCTGTTGGTTCTTTAAATATTACAAGAACGTGTTTCGTATATCTCAGAGATGATGTTCAGCATGGGTTCTGGGACACCAAACTCTCCAAACATCTGATCACAGCATCGTACTACACCGTGTCAACAAAAATGTACCATCCAAATATATAACAAGTAAGCCGAGGTGTTGCGAAGTCCGCGTTGCATCGAACATGCGGCGTGCGATCGACAGAGCATCTACCGTGCTACGTATTGGCATGACACCACACTGGGTGGAGCGAATCTTATATTCGGACCCTCCTCGTTGAAGTCGTTTTTGAATTATCGACGCCAATACAGTGTAACCCACGTGAAATCGAGAGATCGGGCGATAGTTATCCGGTAGGCTCGCGCTCCCTTTTTTCCACAACAATACAACGGCACGAATTCGCCAAGAGTCTGGTATGTCTTTACACTCCCAGCTTTTTGCGGTGCTCGCCATACAAAAAGGTTGCTCAAAATTCTGGCGGTATCCTATCGTTCCCTGCTGCTTTTCCCACTACCGGATATTTCAACGCTCTCGTCAATTCATCCATTGTAAACTTGCCAGTGTCTATCGGCAGCGGAGCCCCCATGCGCTGATTCTCTTTTGAGTGAATGCTTGCATGTTCGATGTCCAACAGAATTTTCTCAAAATGATCCTCCAATGCGTCTGCTCGTTGATCGATTTCCACTGGCTCACCTGCAAAATTCTTCAATGCAATCGATGTCTTTCCCAAGTCTTTCATAGCGCTTTGACGGCATGCCACGATCCCCCAACAAATTGTGTGATTAGCAGTTTCCGTGTGTCCTGTCGGGTCGCCTTTTTGGTAGCTTTGTTCAAATGTTACTCACCAATTGTGTATCCCATGTCCCGTGATGTATTTCGTTGGTTGAACCCGCTGAGCGTATCCACTGATATCCATTGTTGTTGGCGGCCCCAGTCTGATGCCACGGCCACTCCTGATGCTCCTCGCATTGTTTCTGCCACTGCTTCTGCGTGATCGTCCAAAGTCTGATCATCGACATCAAAATGAGTTGCAATATCAAACGCTTGTGTATACGCTCGCCCAATGTCTGAAGACTCCCCTAAACTCTTCAAAAGACATCGTGGCTGTCCAGTGTGCTTCTTGTTTGCCAAATGCAATACGCAGCGAGACTGTCATCAGAAAGTTCCTAGTTTGCAGAGTTAGCGCCCTGTCTGTCCAGATCTCGCTCACCATAGGCATAGATCATAGCTTCGACATCAACCAGACAGCAGTTCAATTGAGCTAAGCGTTTGTTCTCTACGCCAGTGTTCGGCCCTATCCCGTGCGCCGTGACATGGTCGAAACACGCGTTCGCAATGATCGACTTGGTCTCCCCGCAGGTTTCTAGTAGGAGCTCCATGTTTGTGGTTGCGCCTCCACCACGTCGTACTCTCTCGGCAAATGTACGCCCAACGTTGCGTTGAAATCCCCCATGGCGCTCGTACCATTATGCTTGCCGTAGCTCGTCCATGCGTTGCCAACGCTGTCGAGTAAAATGTTTCCTTGTTCCATACTCTTTCAAGCCATGCGGAGCATACACGCTCATAATGTTGAAATTTTCACCTTTCATTTCAGTCTTTGAAGCTGCGAGTCGGTGGCCAACTAGTTTCAAGCTGGCAACTGAACGATTCGCCTGTGGAAAAATCATGAAAACCACGCCTGAATAAAAGGTAGCAACTTGTGATACCGATGGTCCCAGACAGTATCACTAGGTATCCATATCAAAAGACGTGTTTTGATTCCGCGACGTGGGTTTCCTGCATGCACAAAATGCGTAGACCTCTCTGTTCCAGATGGTTTTGGATTGCTGTCTGCTTGCTGTGATCTTGCCCCAACACTTGAAAGTTCCAAGTGGCGACCATTTGATTGTCCCAAGGTGTGCAATGGCGACGCGGACACGCATGTTTGTCATCCGCCCCTTTCCTCCGACGATCCTCCTGTAGATCAGTATTGCGATCCCTGCCTGCCGTACCGGTAAGACCAGCATAGGGCATGAGAGATGGGGGATAAGAGGATGAAGAAAGTGAAGGGCAAGACGGGTCAGGGTCTCGTCCAGCAACACTTTGCCCACAACCGGCTGGTTGGCACCAACATGCTGTGTTGGAATATCGTGGGGCTGTGTCCACAGAGGTGGCACCATATGCTGCGAGCTCCTCGTCGGATGCACTTGACATTGAGACGGTGCTTGACAACAGATAATCAGAGTGAGGCCATGGCGTGAGGAAAAAACTGTACAATCGTGTAGAGGAGGAGGAGGAGGAGGAGGAGGAGGCGGAGGAGGGGGAGGGGGAGGGGGGAGGAGGGGAAGAAGGATGAGGAGGAGTGAGGGGGAGAGTATTCGTACACCTTCTGGAATGGAGGCGTCTTCGACCCGAGACGCGCAAGAAGAGATATCTGGTAGTCTCTACGGGGGGCCCCTCGGGGGACTCCCGAGGGCCACTCGGGAGTCCATTCGGGGGCCTCTTGGGGGCTGCTGGGAGGCTTCTTGGGGGAGCTCTGGGGGCTTCTTGGTAGGGGCCGACGGGCTGCTCCCGGGGCCACCTTCCGAGGGCCACTCGGGGGGCGCTTCGGGCATCTGGGCCTCTCTGGGATCTCTTGGGGCCCTCTTGAGGCGCATTTGGGCCGGCTTGGGCCATCCTTGGCCTCTTGGGGCCCTCCTGGGGGCCTCTTCGGCGGCCTCGGGGCGCTCCTGGGGACCTCTCGAAGCCGCCTGGGGCGCTGGTGGGACAGCAAGAATGAAGATGCCAAACATATACGCTGTCCCAAAGGACTTGCGGCGACGTTTGCCTCTCGGAGCCCTCGAGGTGGTTCCTTTCGAGCCGTCTTGGGCCAACGTATGCATAGAGATGCTACGGTCGGGGCCTGTAGAGCCTCGCCCTGACGACCTTGGGAGTCCCTGGACAGGGAAGACAGGGCCATATGCTGGCAGGCGTACGAGGAGGGGCATGTCAGACCCTCGGATGCAGGAGCGGTGAAGACCGCCGCAAAATGCACCACGGGAAGTACCCAGATTTCAGCGTGAGCTCCCACGTGGACGACGTTTCACACACACACACACACACACACACACACACACACACGCGCACACACTTTGAGACGCCTCGAGCCTACCTTGGGAAGACAAGAGGCGTCTTGGTGGCCTCTTGGGCGCCCAGGGAGAAAGTCGGGCTGGGCGAAAGGGGGAAAATAGCAAAGGGGGGGGGTGAGAATCAGCTCACGTAGCTGATTTTCCCGGCGCCTCTCGGTGCCGGAGGCGGCCATGTATCGAGGAATGGGCCCCTCGGTGGGGCTGAAACCAGCTGCATGCAGCAAATTTCGTAACCCCCCCCTTCCCTATCCCCCCCTTTCGTCCGGCCCGATTCTACCGTAGGGGGTCCCTGGTGGTCTTTGGTCCAGGGCCCAACGGGGCTTGACAAGGAGGGACACATGCTGAAGGAGAAGTGGAGCCTCTGAAGACGAAGAGCAGGAGGAGGACAGAGAGAAGGAGGACAGAGAGGAAGGGCCATCATGCCCCTCGTCCACGTGTGCCTGCCCATCCTGCCACCGTGCCTGCGTGCTAGGTCTGAGACCTCTTGAATGCCTGTTCGGGTCTCTGGGGAAGCCTCTGGGCAGCCTCCCTTGGAGGCAGGTTCGAAGCCTCTGGGAGCGCCTTTCGGGGCCTCGCTCGGGCCTCTTGGGTCCTTTTGGGGAGACCTTGGGGGCCTGCTGGCGGTCTTCGGAGTCCCCTTGGGGCAGAAGCCTCGAAATTTGGGTCCCCCTTTTGGAGCGCCCATTGGGGACGTATTGGGCGGTCATGGGTATCTCTTGGGCCTTTGGGGGACTTCTTAGGCCGTCTTGCGGCTCTCTTGAGGGCCTCTGGGGCCGTCTTGGACGCTGTGAGAAAAACACGAATGTACCAGGAATACTAGACACGCGCGCTTTCCTACAGTCTGGGGCGACTTGTGCCTCCCCGGGCCCTCGTAGTAGTCCTCTTGGAGCTGTCTTGGGGCGTCTTGGGGCGTCTTGGGGGCCTCTTGGCCCGTCTTGACGCCCTCTGGAGCCGTTCAGAAGCCATCTTGGCCCGTCTGTGACTGGTTTGGACCCTACCCAGAAGCTCTGGGGCGGGGCTGGGAAAGCTCCGGGGGGCGGGAGGCCCCGGGGAGGCCCCGCTGGGGGAGGGGGAACTCAGTGTTGCTGAGGTGCCTCTGGCGGTCTTCGGCCCAATGGCCCCTGGGGCCAGGCTTCTGTATGTGAGAAACGTGGCCGGCCCGAAAGTCTCGACCGTTGACCCAGGACCGAACTTTTCGTCCGATATCGTTTTTCCAAAGCATCGGGGCCAGATAATGCCTCTTGGAGACCGAGCCAGCCAAAGATGATTACCAATAAAAGGACCCCTGACCCTTTGGGGGAGGACCTACGTTGGAGGGCCGAAAACATTGGGGATGGGAGGTCTTTTTCTGCAAGTGTATCGAACCAAACCGCCTAGATTGATCACCCCTGACGTAAAGACGGGGACCTCAGTGAGACTACGCGCTCATCGTGTTATCAGGGATAGGGGTTCCTTTACCCTCGATGAAAAGGGTTTCCGTCGAGTTTGTCTGCACGACGCGAGGGGGCTCGGGGATGTGGGCACACTCGGGCGGCCCCTCTCCTGCCCCCCGCAGCGCCTCCCCGCACCTCGCTCGCCCAGCCAGCGCGGCGCCCGCCCTCAGTGCAGTCAGGCCCAGCTCCTGTCGAGGGACGACGACGACGACGACGACGACGACGACGACGACGGCGACGCCGTCCCAAACGACCGAGAGCTCTGAGGTCCATGGTCCCCGGACGTCCAAAGTTGCCCCCGCCGCCCCTGAAGGCGGACCTGTGGAGACCTCGGGGACGCCAAAGGCGACCACGACGACGGGCAGCAGCGGCGACAGCGACGCCGTCAGGCCCAGCTCCTCTCGAGGATCTTCAGCTGCACCCTCTGCGACTTCGACCGCGTCCGCCGGAGGCCCTGGATCAGTTTCGTGACGATGTCGATGTGGGCCTGGCGGGCTCAAGGATCGAGGATTGAAGATTGAGTGTCAACGGAAGAGACCAATGCCAGGCCCCTTGCTTGCCACCCTGCTTGTCCAAGCTTGAAAGCAATATCAGTATCGAGACACACCGAACAAAAACACCAAAATTACGCCGCCGAGAAACCCCAAATACTTATATTATGGCTGGAGCGATGATAGCTGAAGTGAAGCATGTGAGAATGATGTTCGTCGTTCGTGGCCATTCCCTGCGCACCCCCTCTGGTGTCCAGAAAGTGCAACTCCTGTTGCGCCCTTGACGACAGGCTCGGATAGCGGCCGCGCTCAGAGACCACCACCTGCGAACCCCCTAAGGTTACGAGAATCTGCCACGCCTGCTCTGCCAGCGTTCCCCTGTGCCCTGAGCACGACCGGCACGGATAGCAAACTTGCGTACCGATGTGCCCTGAGCACCACCGTCACGGATAGAGGCCGCGCTCAAGGACCACCCCGTGCGCACCCCCTGCGGTGTCCAGAATATGCCATGCCTGCTATGCCCTGGACGACCGGCACGGACAGCAGCGCCCTGGACCACCGGCACGGATAGCGGCCGCACTCAGGGACCACCCCCTGCGCACCCCCTATGGTGCCGGGAAAGTTCCACTCCTACTATGCCCAGGCCGACCGGAACGGATAGCGGCCGCGCTCAGGGACCACCTCCTGCGCACCTCCTTGTGGTGTCGGGAAAGTGCCACTCCTGCTATGCCCTGGACGACCGGCACGGATAGCGGCCGCGCTCAGGGACCACCCCCTGCGCACCCCCTATGCTCCTTGAGGTCTGATACGGCCAGATTTTGGCAACATGTTTTTGTTGGGCATCTACGGCCAGAATCGTTTTGGTCGTGGATGCAAAAGAACACGTAGACGTGGAACGCACGAGGAAGTAACATATACGAAGGACGTGGCAGTGAAAAATCAATAGACGAGTTGGTTCGCAATGCGCTTGGCACCGACAGTTAGCTTATACAGTAAACGTCCAAATCAAACACATATTATTGCATGTTGTCCTCTTCCAACCCACATTCGTCCTTACCCTGGATTATTGTTTCCCCTCCTCCTTCTCCTCCCCTTCCTCCTCCTCCTCCTCCTCCTCATTATCATCATCATCATCATCATCATCATCATCATCATCATCATCATCATCATCATCATCACCATCATCCTCATCATCACCACCACCATCATCAGCAGCAGCAGTATCATCATCATCATCATCACCACCATCATCATCATCATGATCATGATCATCATCATCATCATCATCATCATCATCATCATCATCATCATCATCATCATCATAATCATCATCATCATCATCACTTCCTTCATCATCATCATCATCATCATCATCATCATCATCTCAGAGAGAGCGTGATCCACCGCCGCTTTACTGTGGAAAATTGCCAACCTTTTCCTCCAGAACCCGGGGGTCCCCTCCCCCCCCTCCGAAAATCCCCCCCCCCTGCTGGAACCCCTCCCCCCCCCCCTCTCCCGGCAAAACCCCCCCTCCCCTAACCCCTCCCCCCCCCCCTCCCCCTCGAAAACCGGGGTCACTGCCGGTTCGAACCCCCCCCCCCCCCCCCCCTCCGGATCCGGAAAACCGGGGGGGGTCACTACCGGTTCGAACCCCCCCCCCCCCCCCTCGAAAACCGGAGGGGGATCACTACCGGTTCGAACCCCTCCCACCCCCCCACTCACCGCCAGCAAACGACTCCCGGTCCCTACCACCGTCCGCATCACATCCTCCACTGTTGTTCCCAGCACCACTGTCCTCACCACCACTGTCCCCACTGTGTCCCCACCAGTGCCCCCACCACTGTCGCACTGTCCCCAGTCCCCACCACTGTTCCCACCACGGTTCCACTCCACTGTCTCCACGGCCCCAATCACTGCCCGACTATCCCCACTGTCCCCACTGTCCCACTGACTCCGCCGCTGTCCCACTGAGCTGTCCCACTGTTCCCACCACTGTCCCTACTGTCCCCACCACTGTCCCCACTGTACCTCTGTCCCATTGTCCCACCGCCGTCCTCGCCACCGCCTTCACCACTGTCCCCACCACCATTGTACCCTCCACTGTCCCACTGTTTCCACCTCATTCCCACTGTGCCCACACCACTGTCCCCACCACCACCGTCCCCACCACTGTCCACTGTCCCCCCTGTTCCCACCATTGTCCCCACCACTGTCCCCACCACTACCGGCCCTCTACTGTCCCACTGTCCCACTGTCCCCACCACTGTCCCGCTGTCCCCTCACCACTGTCCCACCAACACCGTCCCCACCTCTGTCCGCACCCCCACTCGGTTTTCGAGGGGGGGGGGGGGTTCGAACCGGTAGTGACCCCCCCCCCTTTTCATGATGAGCTGGGGGGGGGGAGGGGTTCGAACCGGTAGTGACCCCCCCGGTTTTCCGGAGGGGGGGGGGGAGGGGTTCGAACCGGTAGTGACCCCCCCCCGGTTTTCCGCCAGCAGCGGTAGAACACGCTCTTTCTCATCTCATCATCATCATCATCATCATCATCATCATCATCATCATCATCATCATCATCATCATCATCATCAGCATCATCATCATCATCATCATCATCATCATCATCATCATCATCATCATCACCATCACCATCACCATCACCATCACCATCACCATCACCATCATCATCATCATCATCATCATCATCAGCATCACCACCACCATCATCATTATAATCCTCCTCCTCCTCCACCTTTTCGTCATCCTATTCATCCTACTCCTACTCCTACTCCTCATCATCGTCTTCCTCGTTTTCCTCCTCCTCGTCCCCCCCCCCCTCCGCCTCCAAATTCTTAGATGGATCCTTTCGAAATTTGTTCCTGGCGGCAGCTGGAGAAGGGGAGAGGGGCAAGCCGTCACGGGAGGACGCGTGGCCAGCACGGGGGGCCGCGGCACGCAAGAGATGGGCCGAGAGCTCGACCCTGTTCTCCCTCATGCGCGCCCTCTCCGTCCTCTCTCTCATCTCATTTCTCCTCATTTTCCTCATCGTCCTCATCTTCCTCGTCCTCCTCTTCCTCCTTTTCCTCCTCGTCGTCCTCCCCCTCCTCCTCCCTGTCGCCCGCCCTTCCCCCATCCCCCGAGGGCTGTCAAGGTTGCCCCGTCGACCAGTCCCCTCGCACGACTACCTTATCATTAACTCGAGCTCTTACGAAAGAGGCTCCAGGGCTGGATGGCCCTTTTTCAATGAGGGGCCTCTGAAACCTAGGATATATCACCAAGAGCAGTGGTGGCCCTGCCTATCATCCAAATGCAAAGGGGGCACTCATAAGATCCCGCCACCCCTGGGGCGAGCGCGGTCGAGGGGGCAGGAGGGCGAGGAGAAGGGGGAGGAGGAGAAGGAGGAAGAAGAGGAGGAGGAGCTACTGGAGTTACTGGTTTGCGGACCGCTGTCCAGGCCTCTCATAAGGCCCCAGCGAAAGCAAAAACAACATGCCAACGAGTTGCAAGACAAAATGTTGATGGATGGAGGGCTCCCCGCCACAAAGGAAAGCAGCAACATAAAGGGGGGGCCGCGTGCAACTTCCTGGGCAGGGTAGGGTCCGCGAGGACCATCGGGCCAGTTCGTGTTCATCCTCCTCCTCCTCGTTCGCCTCGTCCTCCTCCTGCTCCTCCTTCTCCTGATCCTCCTCATGCTTATCCTCCTCCTCTTATTGTTATTCCTCCTCCTCGTCCTCATACTTCTCATGATCGTCCTCCTCTTCCTCGTCCTCCTTCCTCGTCCTCCTCATCATCTTCATCTCCCTCCTCTTCCTCACCCACACCCTCCTACTGCCCTCCCCTCTCGTCCCCTCTCGCCCTCCCCGCGCCGTCACCTTCCAGAGAGCGCCAGTGATCCTCCTTCTCCTCCTTATCCACCTCCTTTTCCTCCTCCTCCTCCTCCTCCTCCTCCTCCTCCCTCCTCCTCCTCCTCCTCTTCCTCCACCTCCCCCTCCTCCTCTTCCTCCTCCTCCTCCTTCTCCTCCTCCTCCTCCTCCTTCCTCCGCCAGGTGGCCACCTCTGCGCAGCTCAAGCGCAGAGGGGCCAGTGGCGGCGCTGCGGTCGTGTCGTGAGGGTGGCGGCCATAGCCCCATGCGAGATCGGGGCGGAGAGGGGCAGGGATCATCCCCCCATATCTTTCGAAAGACATGGCCCGTGTGGGCAAGGCAGTCCAACGGAGGATGGGGGGGAGGACGAGGAGGAAGAGGAGGATGAGGAGGAAGAGGAGGAAGAGGAGGAGGAGGAGGAGCAATTCGGATTAAGGTTACCACGTTTGGGTGAGCGTTGCTGCAGGATTAGGATTGTGTGGGGGGTATTAGAGTTTTGGGTTACGGTGTTAAAGTTAAGGCGCTAGGATCAGTACGGGAATGTTGGGGTGTTTGTTTAAGGATGCTACAGTGCAGTGTTCTTGCTTATGATCGGGTCGGTATGGGTGTATGTTTATGGTGCTAGTTTTAGCGCGTGCTGCTAACGGTGCTGACGTGAAGATTAGGTATTGCATGGTTACCGTTCGGGCCAGGTGGCTAAGGAACATAAGCTGAGGGAAAGACAACCAACGAGCGTGCGCGGCGCGGGCAGCTCCTCGGCGCATCCACGCCAGCCGACGCTGGTCACCAACCGGACGTGCATTGTATGTTTATTGGATTGGCATTGGATGTGCATTGAACGTGTTTTTTGACGCGCATTGTATTTGCATTCGAGGTGAGGTGCATTGGATTTGCATTGGATTTGCAGTGGATTTGCATTGGATTTGCATTGAGTTTGCATTGAATTATCATTGGATTTGCATTGGATTGGCATTGGATTGGCAACACGGTGGCCAAAACAAGCGTTGGGACGACGAAATCACCACTTACTTACGTCAACGCAGACCAGACCTCCACCGACCGCCCAGGCAAGCCCATTCGAAAGGACAACCGAACGACATCACATGGACGCAAACAGCCCAAGACACCGAAGCATGGACAGCGCTCGAACACCACTTCACCGACCTCACGTCGACCAGCACCCGGGATTCAGACCAACGACGTAAAATCTCTGCGAACGTCGAGACGTCTCGCCCAACCCGCGCCGACACCGACACCAAGGACTTTTTTCCCTCCTCCTCCCCCTCTCCTCCTAACTTTTTACATGTCTCGCATTGCATGAATCCAGACACCTCAGATCCTAGAGGCCATGGCCTCACCCACCTGGTCTGCTCTAGGCCCAGAAGCTATCCGCAACGGTGGTCGCATCGCATCGCAAGACAGCCTAAGAAGCCCCCCAAGCCGGCCTCAAGACGGTCCGAGGGACCTCCAGGATCGTCCTGAAGTTAGGTCGGGCATGTGATCCTACAGGCAGATGTTGGGCGAAAAGTTAAAAATCGTCCAAAAATGCGCACAGATTCAGACGTTTTCGAGGTCAAAAAAGAATCACAAAAATCGAAGAACTCGAAAGAGTCACAACAGTCGAAAAATCACCCATAGAATCACAAACCGTACCCAGACCATGTTTGCACTATGCTTGGATATTCCTTCTGGACAGGGCTGAACCTGAACGGTGTTCTTCGTTTTCGTTTTGTTCTCGTTTTCCCTCGTTTCGTCTCCAATCCGCCATTACCGCAAAACGAAATCGAACCGAAAACGGCCCACGAAATCGCCAAAACACCGTTTAAGGTCCACCCCTGCTTCTGGAGAGGGACGGGAACCCGATTCCATCCCGAAGCGCGGGCCCGACGACGGCCTCCGGAGGCCAAGAGGTCCCCACAGAGGCTCCCAGGGGCTCCCAAGGGGCCCCAAGAGAGCCCCAGGAGAGGAGGAGGAGGAGGAGGAGGAGGAGGAGGAGGAGGCCCCCACGGGGCCCCCACGAGGCCCCGTGGAGCCCGCCATACAGGGCTCCCAGGAAGCACCCGGGAGGCCTCCAGAGGGCCTCAGGAGGCCTCCTCGTCTTCCTCCTCCTTCACCTCCCCCCTCATCTTCCTTTCTCGTCCTCCCCCCACTGTCCATTGTCCCCCCGAGGGGGTTCTGCAACGGCTGGGGGACACATTGTCCAGTAACTTGGCCAGACCTCGGCCCGACGTCTGGCCGCAGAGACGAGTCCACGAGGCAGGGGGCGTCGATGATTTGCCGCAGGCGTCTTAGATCCAGCACCGTGCCTCTGGCACGAAGTGGAGTGCCCCAAGGCTGATGCAGTCCTGAAAGGTAAGTAGTGGTTTCCTGGATGGGGTTCGAATAGATGGGGTCGGGGGATAGCGCCGTTTCCTCCCATGTTCGACTTCCCGATGCTCCAAGACTGCCCAAGAGGCCCCCAACATCGCCCCAAGAGTGGGCTCCAAGTCGGCCCAAGAGGCATACAAAACGGCCCAAGACGCCCCCAAGACGGAGGCCCAGCCGAGGGACCCGACCGAACATTTCGGGCCCTCAGCCCCGAGAAGCCCTCAGGAGGCCCCAAGAGGCCCCCGCGAAGCCCCCAGGAAGCCCCGAGAAGCCCACAAGAGGCCCACAAGAGGCCCCAAGAGGCCCCCAGGTTCCCAGGAGGCCCTCCTGAGGTTCCCGAGAGGCCCCTCAACTGCCACCCAGAGGCTCCCGAGAGCGCTGCGAAGAGACCCCGAGAAGCGTCCCTGAGGACTCTGACCCAGAACCCACGCAGGGTGGTGAGATGCGCCAAAGGCCAGTTGATAACGAAAACAGCAAACATTACTCACTGCGTGGAGCTCCCCAGATGTGCATTTCATGTCTTCTGTCATGCCATAATGAGCGTCTCTTCATGAGCGCTTGACTATGATAGCGCGTCCACGTGGGCGACAGGGCCGACGAAGACGAGTGAATCCTGATGAGAGTGAGTGAGTATGAGCCAAAGTGAGCTTTGAGTATGATTGAATATGAGCCTCCCATCTACTCCTCCTCCTCCTCACACTGGCCGCGAACGGGCCCGTGAAAACACCCCTGGCGGCTCCCCTTGGGGGTGCTGAAACCAGCGCCCCGCCGGCGCCCTGCCTGAGACATCCTCAAAATCTGCTCTGACAGCACAGGATGTTGGGCATGAAAACGAACAAACCGCCTCAGACACCTCCACAAACTGGCCGCGAACGGGCCCATGTCCTACCCCCTCGCGGCTCCTTCTGCCTGAGACATCCTCAAAATCTGCTCTGAAAGCCAACGATGTTGGGCATGAAAACGAACAAACCGCCCGAGACATCCCCACAAACTGGCCGCGAACAGGCCCGTGAAAACACTCCTGGCGGCTCCCCTTAGGGGTGTTGAAACCAGCGTCCCGCCTGAGACATTCTCAAGATCTGCTCTGAAAGCCAAGGATGCCGGGCATGAAAACAGACAAACCGCCTCAGACATCTCTGCAAACTGGCCGCGAACGGGCCCGTGAAAACACCCCTGGCGGCTCCCCTTACGGGTGCTGAAACCAGCGCCCCGCTTAAGACATCCTCACAATCTGCTCTGAAAGCCAACGATGTTGGGCATGAAAACAAGCAAACCGCCGGAGACATCCCCACAAACTGGCCGCGAACGGGCCCGTGAAAACACCCCTGGCGGCTCCCCTTAAGGGGTGCTGAAACCAGCGTCCCGCCTGAGACATCCTCAAAATCTGATGCGAAAGCCAAGGATGTTGGGCATGAAAACGAACAAACCGCCTGAGACATCCTCACAAACTGGCCGCGAACGGGCCCGTGAAAACACCCCTGGCGGCTCCCCTTACGGGTGCTGAAACCAGCGCCCCGCTCAAGACATCCTCACAAGCTGCTCTAAACGCAAACAAGTCTGCCCACCAAAACAGCCAAACCGCTTGAGACATCCCCACAAACTGGCCGCAAGCGGGCTCGTGCAAACACCCCTGGCGGCTCCCCCTAGGGGTGCTGAAACCAGCGCCCCGCCTGAGACATCCTCATAAACTGCTCTAAACGCAAACGAGTCTGCCCACCAAAACAGCCAAACCGCCTGAGACATCCCCACAAACTGGCCGCGAACGGGCCCGTGAGAGCACCCCTGGCGGCGCCCCTTAGGGGTGCTGAAACCAGCGCCCCGCCTGAGGCATGCTCACAAACTGCTCTAAACGCAGACGAGTCTGCCCACCAAAACAGCCAAACCGCCTGAGACATCCCCACAAACTGGCCGCGAACGGGCCCGTGAGAGCACCCCTGGCGGCTCCCCTTTGGGGTGCTGAAATCAGCGCCACGCCTGAGACATACTCCGAATCTTCTGTGTTGAATAAGTCTGCGTATGAGTAAGTCTGACTATGAGAAGGTCTGAGTATGAATAAGTCTGTGTATGAGTAAGTCTGTGTATGAGTACGTCTGGTATGATTAAGTATGGGTATGAGTAAGTATGTGTATGAGAAAGTCTGTGTATGCGTACGTCTGGGTATGAGTAAGTCTGAGTATGAGTAGGTCTGAGTATGAGTAGGTCTGAGTATGAGTAAGTCTGTGTATGAGTAAGTCTGGGTATGAGTAAGTCTGAGTATAAGTAAGTCCGAGAGAGGGGGAGGAGAAGAAGAGGGAGTAGGAGGCGTCCAAGTAATAACAAGAACCCCATCTTAGGATATTGGGAAAAGGAGAACGCCTCCAGATGCATGCGCAAACGAACCTAAAATTCAGACCTGGACTTCTCCCGCTGCCCATCCAGACCCGAAATCATGCAGGAATCCAGCAGTGGCGACGCGGGAACTCCAGGAGACACGAAAATGTAAAAATGCCCCGCGTTACGATTTCAGTGCCCTGTGGCGCGGTCGCATGTGGTCACAGCCACTGGGGCCTTCCGTGGAGCTTCCCATGGGGCCACGAAACGCTGCACCGGGTGCGCTGAGATTGGTGGACAAGCGGAAGGGCAAGAGGCAGGGATAAAGGGAGGATGGGGAGGAGGGGCGAGGAGGAGGAACGCGGGGCACTGTCTCCCCAGACATGCGACGTCCTGATGTTTTCAATCTGGGGGCCCTGGAAGTCCCGACCCTTTCCCCAGGACCCGTTTTTTATCCTGAGTCGTTCTTTGACGGTCCCGAGGCCCGGCGAGGGCCCCCCGAGGCCGAAAATGGCCAAAAAAGCCTCCCGTGCTGATTTTTGTTCACGACGCGATCATGCCTGAGACTTCAAGACGAGGACCCGACACCACAGGATGGACGGGAAGCATCAAAAATGCCCTGCGCCTCACTGCCAGTGAGCACCGTGTAACGTCTCCCCGATCCCCATCCCAGGCGGCGCGGCCTGGGCCCCACTGGCCGATCTACACCCCTAGATGGGGTATGGGCCGTTCCCTTCGGGTTTCGAGGGGTGTACCCCCAACTGGGGTGGTAATTTGGTGGGGTCTCGAGGGGGATGAGGATGGGGATGGGGGGTCATCGTCGTCGTCGTCGTCATCGTCGTCGTCGTCGTCATCGTCGTCGTCGTCGTTCCCGCCGCCGTCGTCGTCGTCGTCGTCGTCGTTACCGTCGTCGTCGGGGTCGTCGTCGTAGTCGTCGTCGTCGCCGTCATCTTCGAGTTCGTCGTCGTCGTCGTTGCCGCCATCGTCGGGATCGTCGTCGTCGTTCCCGCCGTCGTCGTCGTCGTCGTCTTCGTCGTCGTCGGGGTCGGTGAAGCGATGCCGAGCCGGTGCCCCGGCCTGGGCCCGGCCGCCCCGCGAGGCCCGCCGAGGCGCGGCGAAGCGCGGGGGGGGTGGCCTCCCAGATGCGCACCTTGGCGTAGCTCCGCGGGCCTCCGATGCGCCAACGACGGCGACGACGACGGCGAACTCGACGACGACGAACTCGACGACGACGACGACGACGACGACGACGACGACGACGACGACCCCGACGACGGCAGCGACGACGACGACGACGACGACGACGACCCCGAACATGGCGGCAGCGATGACGACGACGACGACGACGCTGACGGCTACGGCGACGGACGCTGACGACGTCGTCGGCGGTGGATATGGCGACGCCAACGACAGTGACGACGGCGCCGACGACGTCGGAGGCGGCGACAACGGCGGCGGCGGCGAGGACAATGAAATCGCAGAGACGACAGAGGCCACGGCGGCGGCGAGGTGCACTCGGAAACCCATGCGCGGGGAGCTCGCCAGAAAAGACACGCACATATGAAGATATCAGTCGAAATCCCACCAGCCCTCTGGGCTGAGGTGGTTTAGCGGGTTTCCTATTCCGTCTTCCGTCAGGTAGGTTTTTTTGTCCACCTTTCCTTTTTATCAACAATCCCTCCCCAGGCGACCGGCAGCCAACCAGGACAAACTGCAACACCCCCCCACGATCCCCTTCAAAAAACAATACGATTTACTAGAGTGGGAGTAAAGAGTCGAGCAGCGAGCAGAGAATGGCAGGGTGGAACACGTGAACCGCCACCGTGCCTCGTGCACGCCGAGGCGCGGAAGAATGTCAAAATCTGTCTGCTAGGGTCCACGCACTCTGATAAAGGACCCCCCCACACTCCCGTGGTAGCAGACTGCTGCGTGCATCCCCCCTACTCACCGAGGCCACTTCCCTCGTGCCCACTCGAGGATAGTGCACTTCCAGCACGGCAGCTAATGCTTAACCCCCCCCTTGCCACGCCTGCCCTCTCGAGGATGGTGGACTGTCCGCACAGCAGCCAATGCCTGAACCCCCACTCTGTGGGTTCGCGCTCGAGGACGGTGCACGCCCCGCCTGGCAGCTGATGCCTGAACCCCCTTCCACAGCTAATGCACGAGCCCCCCTTCCACGCGCACCCGCTCGAGGATGATGCGCTTCCCACTTGTTCCCGCTCCCGCCCCCCCCTCCTCCTCCTTCTCCTTCTCCTCCTCCTCCTCCTCCTCCTCCTCCTCCTCCTCCTGCTCCTCCTCCTCCTCCTCCTCCTCCTCCTCCTAGACGGCACCAAGACCGCCCCACGACCGCCCCCAGACACCCACCATACGGCCAAGAGGGCCCCACGGCCCAAGAGAACCCCAAGCCCCCGTAACAGGGACCCAAGACGGCCAAGAAACCCCCTAAGACTGCCTCGCAAGAGGCCAGCACAGCTCTACGACGGCCCAAACGAGTTCCACCACCACCACCACCACAACTATCATCATCACCACCACCACCATCACCATCACCAGCATCATCAGCATCTTCATCCTGATCATCTTCATCATCATCATCATCATCATCATCATCATCATCATCAGCAGCAGCAGCAGCAGCAGCAGCAACATCAGCATCAGCATCATCATAATCATCAGCATCATCATGTTCATCAGGATCATCAGCATCATCATCGGCATAATCATCATCAGCATCATCAGCATCAGCATCAGCATCAGCATCATCATCAGCATCCTCATCCTTATCATCAGAAACCTCATCGTCATCATCGGCTTCATCATCACCATCATCAGAATCATCAGCAGAATCAGCATCATCAACATAATCATCAGCATCATCCCCCTCATCATCATCACCATCACCATCACCATCATCATCAAAAGCATCACCATCACCATCATCATCAGCAGCAGCATCATCACCATCAGCATCATCATCAGCAGCACTAGCATCATCATCAACATCGTCAGCATCATCACCATAATAATCATCATCAGCATCATCATCAGCAGCACTATCACCATCATCAGCATAATCATCATGATCAGCAGCATCATCATCATCAGCATCAGCATCATTATCACCGTCGTCGTCATCACCATCATCAGCATCATCATAATCATCAGCATCATCAGCATAATCAGCATCATCAGCAGCATCATCATCCTCATCATCAGAAACCTCATCATCAGCATCATCACCATCATCATCAGCATCATCAGCATCTGCATCATCGTCATCATCAGCACTAGCATCATCATCACACGCTGCAACCCGTCTGCGCGCCTCAACGGCGACTGTGCGTCGGAGGTTGCGCTATGAGCGCAAGCCGAAACAAGTGTGTAGGCATCTGCTCACCCATTGGATCGAACTCCGATGCCAGCGGCAACGCAACGAGTCCAATGTGTGGTCAGGCGCCGTTGGGAGGAGATGCTCTGCTGCCGGCTGGGTGTAGCGTTGCCCGCTGATCCAATGTGCATGGCATAGGCTCGGTGCCGGCTGCAATCCGTACGGGAGGCTGAACCGTGGGCGTAGGTGGTCTGCCACCGACGCTCGGGATCGGGCTCCGGGCCATCGCTGAGCAACGATGTCCTGTGCGTGGCCTCGGGTCGGAGTGTTGGTGGCACCATGCTGCTCGGCTTTGGCTTCCTCTGGCTGCCGCCGTCTGCCTGCTGATGTTAGGCCCTTGCCGTGGCACGTCCTCTGCTCAAAGCGGCTTCGCCGTCGCGTTCGCGGCAGCGCTCGCCGCTCTGTCACAGCTTTTTTGACAATCCCCCTCTGTGCAGTGCGCATGGCCTCGGCTCGGTGCACGATGCAATATTTCTGCGCGCCTCGACGGCGCATGCGTCGGAGGCTGCGCTTCAAGCGGAAGCCGAACCAGGTGTGCAGGCATCCGCTCACACACGGGGTCGGACTCAGATGCCAGCGGCACGCCAACCAGTCCAGTGTATGGCCAGGTGCATTTCGGACGAGATGCTCTGCTGCTGTTGGCGGGGTGTATCGCTTGCCGCTCCCCCAATGTGCATAGCCAGGCTCGGTGCATGCTGCAATCCGTCTGCCACGCACAGCTTTCGGGCGCTGTGTGGAAGCCAAACCAGGTGTGCAGGCTCGCCGACACACGGGAAAGGGCTCCGACGGCACTGGCAAAGCAACAGGTCCCTCCCTCGGGCCAGGGGCCAAGGGATAGTCGCCCTGCTGTTGCTGAGGTGTCTTGCCGCTCGCCTAGTGTGCATGGCTTTGGCTCGGTGGGTGCACGGCCTCTCGCTCGGCACACCCGTCTTTCCTGTGGCGCAGTGTGTGCTGCCAGCCACCGACGCTCTGGATCGGGCTCCGCGCCATCGCAGAGCAGGGAGGTCCAGTGTGTGACCTCTTGCCGTGGGGACCGTGATGCTCTGCGTTGACGTCCATGTTCCGCGCGTCACAGGGCGTGACTCTGCATGCAGCCGTCTGCTTGTTGTGGGCGGTAGGCCATTGCCGTGGCATGCCCTCTGTTCGATGTAGCTGCACTGGCGCGTTGCAGCTTGGCTGCATACCAGCCCGCCTGTTGTTGCACTGCCCGCGTGCCATGACGGAGGCCGAACTAAGAGGGTAGGTGGCTCCACCGACACTCTAGTTCGCCTCCGAACGCCGTCGCAGAGCATAGTGTCCATCGAGTGGCCTGGTGCCAATAGGGATGTGCTGCTCTGCTTTGGCGCGTGTGTGCTTCTGCTGCGGGCTGAGTCGCCATGACTGAGTCGCATCTTGCTTCGGCTGCGGCGGTGGGCCGTTTCTAAGCACTCTGGTGAATCGGCGAGGGTGCATCAGGCACAAAACCGCGCGTTGCCACCGCAGGGCCAAAGGGAAACGCTCGGTCCGAGGGGCAGTATAAGCTGGGAGTTCCTGGCCTCTTTAGACGCGTGGATCATCATCGTCATCATCAGCATCATCGTCGTCATCATCATCAGCAGCAGCATCATCAGCATCATCATCATAAACAGACTCACCATCACCATCAGCATCACCATCATCGTCAGCAGCATCGTCAGCAGCATCAGCAGCATCATCATCAACATCATCACCATCAGCATCATGAGCATCAGCACCATCATCATCAGCAGCGCCATCATCGTCGTCGCCATCGTCGTCGTCGTCAGCGTCTTCGTCGTCGTCAGCATCGTCGTCGTCGCCACCATCATCATCATCATCATCATCAACATCATCAACATCAACATCGTAATCAGCATCATCATGATCTTCGTCGTCGTCATCAGCATCATCAACATCATCACCATCATCATCATCAACATCGTCGTCACCATCATCATCATCATCATCATCATCATCATCATCATCATCATCGTCGTCGTCGTCGTCGTCGTACTCGTCGCTGCCGTTGCTGTCGCCATCACCATCATCATCATCATTTTCATCAACATCACCGTCGTCGTCATTGTCATCATCACCATCAGCATCAGCATCACCACAGTCATCATCATCACCATCATCAACCAATCAATCAGTCAATGCAATGAATCAATGATCTTCTTCACTAGTGTCATCATCGTCATCATCATCAAAGCCATCATGCTTTTCGTCGTCATCACCACGGTCGCCATCACACGAACCTTTATCACCATCACCATCGCCAGCATCATCACCGTCATCACCACCACCACCACCACCACCACCATCATCATCATCATCATCATCATCATCATCACCATCATCATCATCATCACCAGTATCAGCATAAGCATGGTCATCATCATCATCACCATCATCATGATCATCATTATCATCATCATCATCATCATCATCATCATCTTCATCAGCAGCAGCAGCATCATCACCACCACCACCACCACCATCATCATCATCATCATCACCACCACCACCATCACCATCACCATCACCATCATCATCATCATCATCATCATCATCGTCATCATCACCAATGTCATCATAAGCATCGTCATCATCATCATCAGCATCATCATCAGCATCATCATCATCACGGGGAAGCCCTGCGCCCTTGTGGTGGGGCTTCCCCATTGACAAGTTCATTCGGAACCCTAACAATGCACCACACTGTGCATCCCCCGGGGGGCCCCTGGGAAACGCCGGGCGGCCGTGCCGGGAGGCCGTGAGATGA